GCCTTCGAAAAACTAAGCAAAGTATTAAGAGATATGCAAGCGTCATTACAAACAAATAAGCTTGGACTCTAAATCGTCGCGACATCCAAAAATTAGAACTCTTTCACCAGCAAAAGCTTTTTTTCAGTCTGGAACATCAAATGGAATTATTATGTGACCAAAAACCAAAGTCAACAGTCAAACAATCGAATCGCTGATCATTAAACACCGACTTCGATGGTCAGCACATGTAGCAAGAATGGAAGAGTCATTGTTTCCAAGCCAAGTCTTAAATCAGCGAGCTCACTTCGTGGAAAAGTCCACGGGATTACTTGCTCTCAATCTTTTGAAACACAAGCACGAGACCGTGCCAACTGGGGGTGCTCCATCACCACCGGAACCCAAATTGTCAAAGCCTCCAGAAGAGAAAAGGAAGAAGTCAAACTGTAAAAGAGAAAGGATCAAAATCAAACTCGTCCTCCAGCAACATTACCATGCAGTCAATGCCATCGGCTCTTCCATGCAAGAATTGGTCTACTTGCTCATTAACGCCATCATCTTATAGGAAGCACTCGGAAGAGAAGAAATTAAATTCTTGGATCCGAGATAAAGCCGACGACGACAACAACACTCTGTTGACGAAACTAAAGAATAAAACATTACATACTAAATAAAAGTTTTAAAAATCTGCTATGACGTTCTGTTTGGATGTGTCCGCTCGGGCACATTTGTGTTTCGTTCTATGAAGGAGGGGAAAATTGGAATCAGTTAATTCAGTGTTTCCCAACCTTTTTAAGCAACGGCACCCGTAGAATCAAATGAAAATATCACGCTTATCCAAATGTTTAAAGTGTATATATTTAAATGTTATGAAATAAAACCATAATTTTTTTTTAAATACACATACAAATAGGAACTTACTTTATTTCAATGTTTCTATTCACATTTTTTGCAGCTTATTTATTTTGAAGTCTGGTGTTATTGACATTATTCAGACTGTTATCCTCATCTTCATTGCCATATTAACAATGTATCGGCCGTTGTACGCTCCGGCCTTTATCAGGTGACCGGATTTTTCATCGAAACCTTTATTTCGTCCACCGGAGTAGATTTGTGAGTTCAAAACCAGGATACATCAGTGGTGAAGCAAAAAAAAAAAAAAACTTGGAAAGGTATGGCACGTGGAACTAGAACAATCTACCCAATTCCAATCACTTGAAGAAGGCCGGAGCGTAAAACGGCCGAAACGTTGTGATTATGCGAATGAAAGTGAGGATAACAGTCCGAATAATGTAAATAATGTAAAAAATCATAATGCCTCATCTCAGAGATATAGACAGATATTGAAGCCTGATGGGGTTTTTTTAGGGGGGGGGGTTCGCGACTTCTTCAATGTTTGGTCGAATGTGCGATAAGCAGACCCCCATTTCTTCTTCAGTTGAGCGTAGTTTTCTCCCTTCTTATTTTTTGATATTATTTAAGATTTAGAAGCCTAATTCACATAAATAAGAAGTAAAAAGTTGCAATAAAACTAATGAAGCCTTTTTAGCTAATGTGAGATATTCCTTTTCTATTGAAATATAAAATGTATCAATGTTTTATTTTGAGCTCTCAATCACTAGAAATAGTGAAATGTTTTTTTAAAAATGTAAATTAAAAACATAAAAATACTTTTTAAGAAATGAAGATTAAAATAAAGTATTTTAAATAATATAATCGAAGAATAATGAATAAAATTATTTGATAAAAAAGTTTAATACTTATTCAAATACTAATACTGTACCATTCTTTCTTTAACACACACACACACACATATATATATATATATATATATATCGGGACAATATTTTGCGTCACACTTAAGAGGATTGCCGCTGCACGGCGGTTGAAAATCACTGTTAGAAAAGAAATCCACGTTCAATTCCAGTTAGGAGATACATTTCCTTTAACAGATAACTGAAATTTTTTTAATAAGATCAGCGTTCCGTTTGGATTAGTCTTGCTCTTGTGTCAATCGTCTTTTTCATGTTGAATTAAATATAGTCTAATGTTAATTATGTTTTGTGAATATGTCCTGAAGATGGTCTACTAGACCGAAACGTCCGACGTTGACATTATATTAACATTAAAACAGCATATTAGGATTTTTGTTTGTTTTTCCGTATATTTTTCTTCATACTGTCGGATCTATATCCATATATTTGCTTATATATATATATATATATATATATATATATATATATATATAGAGAGAGAGAGAGAGAGAGAGAGAGAGAGAGAGAGCGAGCCCAATGAGGATTGAACTCACAGCTCAGTCGTAACTGATCTAACAAGACAAGCTTTCTTAAACCACGGTGAGGTACCCAAAACGGATTTTCTCATCGAAGCTTAGATGTAGCACAAGGCTAAAAGTATGGTGGTCCCAGTGAAGATCGAACTCACGAACCAGTTATAACGGAACAAGTTTTCTAACCGCTACACCACGCCGAGGTACCCCGGCCTCACCACATATATGTATATGTATGCCATGACAGCATTTTGCGGCACACTTAAGATCGTGGTACGGCTGTTGACAGTCAGTGATTTAACTTATTACTAAATTTCTTTCATACCTAAACAATACGTTTAACTGGTGACGGTAATGTATTTCTTTTAGATTAATGCGTATAATCAGATCGATGATTTGTTTGTTTGGTTTGTATTACGACATATCAACACCTCAATGGGTTATTTAATGCCGACATTTTTATTGTTGGTAATTTTTTGTTTTCAAAAATGTATTGCTGGTAATATTTTTTTTCTTTCCAAAATGTCTTGCTGGTATTAAAACCTATTTTTACATTTTCATAGCATTTTCACCCAAGTTTGGGGTTTAACTATTTGCCCATAGCTGGGACCCTAACAGGTGCTACCACCCCGGGTCAGGATGGACCTGGGAATACCAGCAATTAAGAGGTGGTTCCACGCTCCTCAAAACCACTTGATCAGAGGCCTTGATGTCGGGTGTAGTTTATCGTCTTACCCAGGATGTTCCTAACAGGTGCTACCACCCCAGGTCAGAGTGGACCTGGCAACACCAGCAATTAAGAGGTGGTTCCACGCTCCTCAAAACCTCCTGATCAGAGGCCTTGCAGATGGATGTAGTTTATCGTCTTACCCAGGACGCGGCTGTAGTTTATCGTCTTACCCAGGACGAACCAGATAGATGAATAACTAAGTCAAATTAATTAGCCAAGCAGATACTTAAGCCTATCGCCCGGTTCATACTTCTTCCCTGTCATTTGAGTAGAGGTTTATCCTCGTTTCTTGTTTAGGATTGGGTTTCAGGCGAAATAAATGAGAAGCCCAGTCGTCCATCGAAGCCTTGTTTCTGGTAAGAAAACAAAGAAGGGAAGAATTCTTTTTGTTAGTTTTTTTTTTTTTTTTGCATTCGATGCAGACGGTCATTTTTTTTCCCTTCCTCATATTCCTTCAAGCACAATGCACAGAAATGAAGCTTATAATTTCTGAAAATATTTCTTTTCTTTTTTTTTTACCTATTTTAAGGTCACACTCCTCCCCGATTTCTTCAACAAGAGGTTTATCCCTTGTTATCCTTTTTAGAATTGAGTTTTCCGATCCCTTCTAAAATCTTTTTATTTTCGCTTACTCCCTATATCCCCTTGCGCCTTAGGGGCATTATCGCCTTCCTTGATATGAATTGATTAAAAAGTAAAAATATCCAGCGATAGATAATATAGCCATATAACTGTAGGCAGTGAAGAAAATTCTATATACCAGCAAATTTTTCCAGGACGATCATGGCTCTCCATATCTTCCTTTTTTATTATACCTCCTACACCTTGATATGCCCCCCTCTAATTTCCACAAGCTTGTTAAGCAGATTACTCGCTATTTCAGTCTGCTGTTCTTCATTATATCCTGTGAGAGTCAAATTCTCCAGGCCTTCTTTTCTCATTATGGGTGTGCGGGTGGCGCCGTGGATAGCGGCACGGGATGAGAAATCGGAGAGCTGATTTCGACTTCCAGTCGTGTTCGTTATAATCACTCACGCGCAAATACCCATAGGAAAGATATGAATCCAAATCTACTCCTCCCCAAATACGGGTTCAATATTAGGGTATGTATCTGGGAAAATCATCGTTATCTGGAAAAAAATTGTTAATGCAATAATCATTCGCAAAAAAAAGAAGAATACTTGCAATCCCTAACATATGTTTCGGCTTTAAGTAACCCACAAATGGTTAATAAGCCGTAAAAAATAGTATTGGTATTCTCAGTATCCTTCTGTAGAACCACCTTTCGTTTGCTTCAAGTCTTTTCATTGCAAAGCAATACTCCATCATTCGCTGCCATATTGGATTGGTTTGATTTGGTTTTTACAGTTTATCAACCCTTTGCATGTTATTTAAAACCAGAAAATATTTTTAGATTTTTTTTACATAATGAAGGTTTAATGATTGATCTTAATAGTTAACCCATAGCTGGGGGGAGAAGAGGTTGATTTATACCTTTCCCAAGAGTATTTTAAGCGAATATAACTGGAATCGGAACTCGACACTTCGTTTAACAATTTCCGAGTTATTATCGATTACACCATCGTATATCCAAGCTGGTATTTCCATGAGGTCACTCATCTAGGTACTGACCAGGCATGACGTTGCTTAAAATTATGTGATTGTGCGTGAACCGATATTTCAAAGTGATGTGGCCGTAAGAATATAACTGTACCCGCACATCCAAGCTTTGAGCACCTGGTATTCCCAAGCGGTCACCCATCTAGGTACTGACCAGGCTTGATATTGCTTAACTTCTGTGATCGTGCGTGAACCGATGTTTCAATGTTACATGTCCGTAAGATTTTAAACCATCCAAGCCTACAACCTGGTATTTCTAAGCAGTTACCAATCTAGGTACTGACTAGGCTCGACTATGCTTAACTTCTGTGATCGTACGTGAACCTATGTTTCAAAGTGTTGTGGCCGTAAGCACATAACTGTACCCGCACATCCAAGCTTTGCGCACCTGGTATTCCCAAGGGGTCACCCATCTAGGTACTGACCAGGCTCGATATTGCTTAACGTCTGTGATCGCGCGTGAACCGAGGTTTCAACACGAAATCATAATCATATTAAACCGTAATCACACACATACATATTAAACCATCCACACATACATGCTTACAGCACTTGGTATTCCCAAGCGGACACCCATCTAGGTACTGACCAGGCTTGACTTTGCTTAACATCTGTGATCGTACGTGAACCTATGTTTCAAAATGATGTGACTGAAATCTCATAAAATTCTCCGCACATCCACTTTTACAGCATTTGGTATTTTTAATCGATCTGCCATCTAGGTAGTGACCAGGCTCGATGTTGCTTAACTTCTGCAATCCTACTTAAGTTGATGTTATAACGTGATGTGGCCGGAAGCACTTTAAACCATCCACACATACAAGCTTACAGCATCTGGTATTTCTAAGCGGTCACCCATCCAGGTAGTGACCAGGCTCGACGTTGCTCAACTCCTGTAATCGTACGTAAGCTGATGTTTCAACGTGATGTGGCCGTAAGCACTTTAAACCATCCACACATCCAAGCTTACAGCATCTGGTATTTCTAAGCGGTCACCCATCTAGGTAGTGACCAGGCTCGACGTTAACTTTCTGTAATCCTACGTAAGCTGATGTTTCCAACATCCATCCTAGGCCGTCCGTGCACTTTAAACCATCCACACATCCATCCCAGGGCATCCAGGTATTTCTATCCACATATCCATCCCAGGGCCATCCGTGACCAGGCTCGACGTTGCCCAGGGCAACCAAGCCTGTAATCGTACGTATGTTATCCCGTGATGTCCGTAAGCACTTTAAAACATCCACACATCCATCCTAGGGCATTTGGTATTTGTCTATCCACATATCCATCCTAGGGCTATCCATTGCCTCTGTCCATCCACATATCCATCCTCAACTCCTGCCTCTCCTATCCACACGTCCATCCTAGGGCTATCCATGTTTCATCCACATATCCATCCTAGGGCTATCCGTGCCTCTGTCTATCCACATATCCATCCCAGGGCTAGCTATCTGGTATTGTCTATCCACATATCCATCCTAGGGCCATCCAAGCCGTCTGTCTATCCACACATCCATCCTAGGGCTATCAACGTGATCTGTCTATCCACATCCATAAACCATCCATCCCTCCAAGTCTATACAGCATCTGGGCTATCCAAGCATCATCCATCCATCCTAGGGCTGACCAGGCAAGACGTTGTCAACTCCATCCCAGGGCTATCCTACATAAGCTGATGTTCCAACGTGATGTGCCTCTGTCTATCCACATATCCATCCTAGGGCTATCCAACCTCTGTCTATCATCTGGTATTTCTAAGCCATCACCCATCCGTCCTCTGTCTATCCACATATCCATCCCTAGGGCTATCCGTGACTGTCTATCCACAATCCATCCTGGGCTATCCGTGCCTCTGTCTATCCACATATCCATCCCTAGGCTATCCGTGCCTCTGTCTATCCACATATCCATCCTAGGGCCATCCGTGCCTCTGTTCTTTCCAAATCCATCCAGGGCCATCCAACTATCCACACATCCATCCTAGGGCCATTTCTAAGCGGTCATCCACACATCCATCCTAGGGCCATCCGTGACCAGGCTCCACACATCCATCCCCTGGCTATCCGTAAGCTGAAGTTTCCAACGTGATCCCAGGGCCGTCCACTTTAAACCATCCACACATCCATCCTAGGGCATCCGGTATTTCTATCCACATATCCATCCCAGGGCCATCCAGGCAAGACGTTGCTCATCCACAATCCATCCTTAAGGGCCATGTTGTCTCAACGTCCATCCTGGGCCGTCCGCACCCTGTTCCATCCACACATCCATCCTTAGGGCATCTGGTATTTCTGTCGGTCCACCATCTGGTCCTGACCAGGCACACGTTGCTCCACTCCTGTAATCGTACGTAAGCTGATGTTTCATCCATCCTAGGGCCATCCGCTTGTCACTTTAAACCATCCACACATCCAAGCCTCTGCATCCACACATCCATTTCTAAGCGGTCACCCATCTTGGTATCCATCCAGGGCCGACCGTGCTCAACTCCACACATCCAATCCCACGTAATCCGTGATGTTTCAACGTGATCCCAGGGCCGTAAGCACTTTAAACCATCCACACATCCAAGCTTAGAGCATCTGGTATTTCTAAGCGGTCACCCATCTAGGTAGTGACCAGGCACGACGTTGCTCAACTCCTGTAATCCTACGTAAGCTGATGTTACAACGTGATGTGGCCGTAAGCACTTTAAACCATTCACACATCCAAGCTTAGAGCATTCTAAGCGGTCACCCATCTAGGTACTGACCAGGCTCGACGTTGCTTAAATTCTGTGATCGTCTGTGAACCGATGTTTCAACGTGATGCGGCCGTAAGCCGTGTTCTATGAGAGGATCGATATTACATAACAGTTCAGCCCATTTTACTTTGCTTCTTATTAAATCGACACGGGTATCGTAATCGGGTGCCTGAACACCCGGGCGGGCACTCATCTCTGTAAATATCGTAAAGAATAAGCCGACAGATCCTAAAGCTTCGTTTATTGTTTGATCATTTGTAAATGGCGATTCCAGGGGGGAAATCCGAAGTTCCAGACGAAATAAATGAGAAGTCCATTCGTTGGTCGAAACGTTGTTTGTTTTTTGTTTTTTTCCGTGGCGCGAAAACAGAGAAGAAAAGAATTCTTTCTTTAGAAGTTTATTGCTTTTTTGTTTGGCATTCGATGCTGGCGGCCATTTTTTTTTTCTTTCTTCATTTCCCTTCATGCAAAAGGTACGAAAACGAAGCTCACAATGTTTGAAAAATATTTCTTTTCTTAACCTACCGTCCGGTTCACACTCCTCTCCGATCTCATGAGCAAGAGTATATACTCATCCCTAGTTTCCAGTTTAGGATTGTGTCTGGTTCCTTCTAAATCTCAGCCTGATTTCCGAAATTTTATTTCCTATTTTTTATTTATTTATTACTATTTTTACAATTTTTTAACAATGGAAGTTGATCAACTCGTCTATAATTCGAGATACGTAATTACCTGATGTTTCATTCGTGATTATCCTCATCTTTGTCGACATATTTATCCAACGTTTCGAAGTTTCAGTATCTGTCTATATTTCTGAGATGACCCATCTATTAGTGACCATTTTTTACATTATTCAACTCTTGTCTTCATCTTTGTCGCCATATTTATTACAACGTTTCGGCCTTTCAGTATCTGTCTATATTTCTGAGATGAGCATTATGTACACTATTTACATTATTCGGTCACCATCCTCATCTTTGTCGACATATTTATTACAACGTTTCGGCCTTTCAGTATCTGTCTTATATTTCTGAGATGAGGCCGTATATTGCACTATTTTACATTATTCAGACTATTGTCTTCATCTTTGTCGCCATATTTATTACAACGTTTCCCATCCTTCAGTATCTGTCTATATTTCTGAGATGAGGTAAATTATGATGTATCGTTTGTGAATTCGGACTAATGTCCTCATCTTTGCGGCCGTTTATTACAACGTTTCTATGAAAGGAGTATCTGTCTATATTTCTGAGATGAGCCATTATGTACACTATTTACATTATTCGGACTATTGTCCTCATCTTTGTCATATTTATTAAAATCGTTTCAGCCATTCATCTCTGTCTATATTTCTGAGATGAGGTATTATATACACTATTTAAGCTTCGGACTATTGTCTTCATCTTTTTCGCCATATTTATTACAACGTTTCTGCCCTTCAGTATCTGTCTATATTTCTGAGATGAGGGTAAATACATTCTTTCCATTATTTGGACTAAACGTCCTGTTCTTTGTTTTTTATTTTTTTCCGTTTCGGCCATTTTAAAATCTGTCTTATTTCTGAAATGAGGTCTTTATGTAAGTTTATTGCATTATTCGGACTTTGCATTCATCTTTGTCGCCATATTTTTTCAACGTTTCTTCCATTCAGTATCTGTCTATATTTCAGATGAGGTATTATGTACACTATTTACATTATTCGGAAATTATCCTTTCTTTTCGCCATATTTACAAACGTTTCGGTTCACAGTATCTCTCTATATTTCTGAGATGAAGTATTATACTCATCCTATTTTCGGACTTTAGGATCTTTGTCGACATCCTTATTAAATTTCTCAGTATCTGATTTTCTGAGATTTTATTTCCTATTTTTACATTATTTATTACTATTTTTAATTTTTTAAACAATTTCGGTATCTGTCTATATTTCTGAGATGAGGTATTATGATACTATTTCATTATTTCAGTCTATATTTCTGAGATGAGGTATTATACATTATTTACATTATTCGGACTATTGTCCTCATCTTTGTCCTTATATTTATTACAACGTTTCGGCCTTTCAGTATCTGTCTATATTTCTGAGATGAGGTTATTATGTACATTATTACATTATTCGGACTATTGTCCTCATCTTTGTCGCCATATTTATTACAACGTTTCCGGCCCTTCAGTATCTGTCTATATTTCTGAGATGAGGTATTATGTACATTATTTACATTATTCGGACTATTGTCCTCATCTTTGTCGACATATTTATTACAACGTTTCGGCCTTTCAGTATCTGTCTATATTTCTGAGATGAGGTATTATGTACATTATTTACATTATTCAGACTATTGTCCTCATCTTTGTCGCCATATTTATTACAACGTTTCGGCCCTTCAGTATCTGTCTATATTTCTGAGATGAATTATTATGTACATTATTTACATTATTCGGACTAATGTCCTCATCTTTGTCCGCCATTTATTACAACGTTTCGGCCCTTTAATATCTGTCTATATTTCTGAGTAGAGGTATTATGTACATTATTTACATTATTCGGACCATGTCCTCATCTTTGTTGCCATATTTATTACAACGTTTCGGCCCTTCAGTATCTGTCTATATTTCTGAGATGAGGTATTATGTTTTATTTACATTATTCGGACTATTGTCCTCATCTTTGTCGCCATATTTATTACAACGTTTCGGCCTTTCAGTATCTGTCTATATTTCTGAGATGAGGTATTATGTACATTATTTACATTATTCGGACTATTATCCTCATCTTTGTCGCCATATTTATTACAACGTTTCGGCCTTTCAGTATCTGTCTATATTTCTGAGATGAGGTATTATGTACACTATTTACATTATTCGCACTCTTATCCTCATCTTTGTCGCCATATTTATTAAACGTTTCGGCCTTTCAGTATCTGTCTATATTTCTGAGATAAGGTATTATGTACATTATTTACATTATTCGGACTATTATCCTCATCTTTGTCGCCATATTTATTACAACGTTTCGGCCTTTCAGTATCTGTCTATATTTCTGAGTGAGGCATTATGTACACTATTTACATTATTCGGACTATTGTCCTCATCTTTGTCGCCATATTATTACAACGTTTCGGCCTTTCAGTATCTGTCTATATTTCTGAGATGAGGTATTATGTACACTATTTACATTATTCGGACTATTGTCCTCATCTTTGTCGCCATATTTATTACAACGTTTCGGCCTTTCAGTATCTGTCTATATTTCTGAGATGAGGTATTATGTACATTATTTACATTATTCGGACTATTGTCCTCATCTTTTTGTCGCCATATTTATTACAACGTTTCGGCCTTTCAGTATCTGTCTATATTTCTGAGATGAGGTATTATGTACATTATTTACATTATTCGGACTATTGTCCTCATCTTTGTCGCCATATTTATTACAACGTTTCGGCCTTTCAGTATCTGTCTATATTTCTGAGATGAGGTATTATGTACATTATTTACATTATTCGGACTATTGTCCTCATCTTTGTTGCCATATTTATTACAACGTTTTGGCCCTTCAGTATCTGTCTATATTTCTGAGATGAGGTATTATGTACATTATTTACATTATTCGGACTAATGTCCTCATCTTTGTCGCCATATTTATTACAACGTTTCGGCCCTTTCAGTATCTGTCTATATTTCTGAGATGAGGGTATTATGTACACTATTTACATTATTCGGACTAATGTCCCTCATCTTTGTCGCCATATTTATTACAACGTTTCGGCCCTTCAGTATCTGTCTATATTTTTGAGATGAGGTATTATGTACACTATTTACATTATTCGGACTATTGTCCTCATCTTTGTCGCCATATTTATTACAACGTTTCGGCCTTTCAGTATCTGTCTATATTTCTGAGATGAGGTATTATGTACACTATTTACATTATTCGGACTATTGTCCTCATCTTTGTCACCATATTTATTACAACGTTTCGGCCTTTCAGTATCTGTCTATATTTCTGAGATGAGGTATTATATACACTATTTACATTATTGGGACTATTGTCCTCATCTTTGTCATATATTTATTACAACGTTTCGGCCTTTCAGTATCTGTCTATATTTCTGAGATGAGGTATTATGTACACTATTTACATTATTCGGACTATTGTCCTCATCTTTGTCGCCATATTTATTACAACGTTTCGGCCCTTTAGTATCTGTCTATATTCCTGAGATGAGGTATTATATACA